GGTACCGGTCCATTAAGCAAAACAAAGCATTCTTTACCGGTCCATTAAGCAAAACCAAAAAATGGTAAAGAAACTGTTTTCATATCATTTTGACATGCACCTTTTTCGTGCAAAAACATTTTTATTCCGGCCCAACAGCTAAACGCAAACATTCCGCTACCGGTCCATTAAGCAAAACAAAAGGTTCTGTTACCGGCTCAGCAAACAAAACAAAACAACATTAAGAACCATGAGTTCAAACTTTTTGCAATGAACACATATTTCCACTGGTAACGTATGCTTTTTCAGGCTTGGAACATCTTGGAACCATGAGTTTCAAGCTTTGGGAACCCGCAGTTCCTTACAATGAAAGCGGCTTGGCTTCGAACACATAAATTCTAACTTCTGGGAACCGGCAATTCCTTGCAATGGTAACCTCTGGTTCCCAGGTTAGGAACCGTAAGTTTCAAGGTCTGGGAACCGGCAGTTCCTTGCCATGATAACCTTTGGTTCCCACGTTGGGAACCATCAGTTCCAACCTTTAGGAACTGGAAGTTCTTTGCAATGGTAACCTGTGGTTCCCAGGTGGGAACCGGCAGTTGCTTGCAATGGCAACCTCTGGTTCCCAGGTTGGGGACCAGGAGTTCCAACCTCTGGGAACCGGCAGTTCCTTGCAATGGTAACCTGTGGTTCCCACGTTGGCAACAGTGAGTTCCAACCTTTGGGAACCGGCAGTTCCTTGCCATGAACCAAACGCAAACATTCTGGTACCGGTCCATTAAGCAAAACAAAGCGTTCTTTACCGGTCCATGAAGCAAAACCAAAAAATTGTAAAGAAACTGTTTTCATATCATTTTAACATGCACCTTTTTCGTGCAAAAACATTTTTATGCCGGCCCAGCAGCCGAACGCAAACATTCGCTACCGGTCCATTAAGCAAAACAAAAGGTTCTGTTACCGGCCCAGTAAACAAAACAAAACAACATTAAGAACCATGAGTTTTAACTTTTTGGAATCAAGAGATCCTTCCACTGGTAACGTATGCTTTTTCAGGTTTCGATCCATGAGTTTCAAGCTTTCGCAACCGGCAATTCCTTACAATGATAGTTACTTAGCTTCGAAAACATAAATTCTAACTTCTGGGAACCGGCAATTCCTTGCAATGGTAACCTCTGGTTCCCAGGTTGGGAACCGTAAGTTTCAAGGTCTGGGAACCGGCAGTTCCTTGCCATGGTAACCTTTGGTTCCCACGTTGGGAACCATCAGTTCCAACCTTTAGGAACCGGAAGTTCTTTGCAATGGCAACCTATGGTTCCCAGGTTGGGAAGCATGAGTTCCAACCTCTGGTAACCGGCAGTTGCTTGCAATGGTAACCCATGGTTCCCAGGTTGGGAACCAGGAGTTCCAACGTCTGGGAACCGGCAGTTCCTTGCAATGGTAACCTGTGGTTCCCACGTTGGGAACCGTAAGTTTTAAGGTCTGGGAACCGGCAGTTCCTTGCCATGGTAACCTTTGGTTCCCACGTTGGGAACCATCAGTTCCAACCTTTAGGAATTGGAAATTCTGTGCAATGGAAACCTATGGTTCGCTGGTTGGGAAGCATGAGTTCCAACCTCTGGGAACCGGCAGTTGCTTGCAATGGTAACCTCTGGTCCCCAGGTTGGGGAACCATGACTTCTAACCTGTGGGAACCGGCAGTTCCTTGCAATGGTAACCTGTGGTTCCCACGTCGGCAACCGTGAGTTCCAACCTTTGGGAACCGTCAGTTCCTTGCCATGAACCAAACGCAAACATTCCGGTACCGGTCCATTAAGCAAAACAAAGCGTTCTTTACCGGTTCATTAAGCAAAACATAGCAAAACCAAAAAATTGTAAAGAAACTGTTTTCATATCATTTTAACATGCACCTTTTTCGTGCAACAACATTTTTTTGCCGGCCCAGCAGCCGAACGCAAACATTCCGCTACCGGTCCATTAAGCAAAACAAAAGGTTCTGTTACCGGCTCAGTAAACAAAACAAAACAACATTAAGACCCATGAGTTCTAACTTTTTGCAATCAACAGATCCTTCCACTGGTAACGTTACTTTTTCAGGCTTGGAACCATGAGTTTCAAGCTTTGGGAACCCTCAGTTCCTTACAATGATAGCCGCTTAGCTTCGAAAACATAAATTCTAACTTCTGGGAACCGGCAATTCCTTGCAATGGTAACCTCTGGTTCCCAGGTTGGGAACCGTAAGTTCCAAGGTCTGGGAACCGGCAGTTCCTTGCCATGGTAACCTTTGGTTCCCACGTTGGGAACCATCAGTTCCAACCTTTAGGAATTGGAAGTTCTTTGCAATGGTAACCTATGGTTCCCAGGTTGGGAAGCATGAGTTCCAACCTCTGGTAACCGGCAGTTGCTTGCAATGGTAGCCTCTGGTTCCCAGGTTGGGAACCATGAGTTCCAACCCCTGGGAACCGGCAGTTCCTTGCAATGGTAACCTGTGGTTCCCACGTTGGCAACAGTGAGTTCCAACCTTTGGGAACCGGCAGTTCCTTGCCATGAACCAAACGCAAACATTCCGGTACCGGTCCATTAAGCAAAACAAAGCGTTCTTTACCGGTTCATTAAGCAAAACATAGCAAAACCAAAAAATTGTAAAGAAACTGTTTTCATATCATTTTAACATGCACCTTTTTCGTGCAACAACATTTTTATGCCGGCCCAGCAGCCGAACGCAAACATTCCGCTACCGGTCCATTAAGCAAAACAAAAGGTTCTGTTACCGGCTCAGTAAACAAAACAAAACAACATTAAGAACCATGATTTTTATCTTTTTGGAATCAACAGATCCTTCCACTGGTAACGTATGCTTTTTCAGGTTTGGAACCATGAGTTTCAAACTTTGGGAATCCGCAGTTCCTTACAATGATAGTTGCTTAGCTTCGAAAACATAAATTCTAACTTCTGGGAACCGGCAATTCCTTGCAATGGTAACCTCTGGTTCCCAGGTTGGGAACCGTAAGTTTCAAGGTCTGGGAACCGGCAGTTCCTTGCCATGGTAACCTTTGGTTCCCACGTTGGGAACCATCAGTTCCAACCTTTTCTATCTGGGGTCTATGCCGGTGTAATTTTTTGTGATAGCTGATAACATTAATTATATAACATCTCATGACTATACCACATTTTAGTGGGAATTTCAGGACCCTAAAATGGAGCTACTGTACCTTGAATCAAGCCATATTTTGGGGGCACATTCCCTTACATAGCCTTCACAAAATTTGAACAACATAGACATAGGCCTTAACTATGGTAGCTACCTCCAATAAACATCGGGTAGCTGTTGCATGGCAATTGATGAACATTGCCCCCAAAATGGCTGATCTTCCGCCCTGTGGCTTGGCTCCTAAGGATATGGTGGCGCAGTATCTGGGACAGACTGCTCCGAAGGTGCACGGTGCATAGTCAGCCACGATCTGGTGAAACAATTGGGAAGATGATCATAGGGGATTTGGAGGTTTCAATGCTGGATGGTTTTTAATGGAAAGTCCTAAAATAAAATGGATGATTTAATGATTTAGGGGTACCCCCATGTTAGGACATCTCCATAAAAAGGCCATAAAACCAATGATCATTGGATTGGTTTACGGGAAAAATTGCCGGAAAGCCCCATGATCTTGGTAAGAAGCATGGGAAATCCGGTTTTCAGATTTTCCCCTAATCCAATGACATGACATCATGAGGATGTTGGGAATGACAACTTGGACAAGTTGTCCAGCTATCCAGCTATCGTGAGCTGAGCTATGGTTGTATCCATGTAGAGCTACGCATAGATTTTCCCAACCACATGATAGTTCAGCCGTTCAGCCCATCACTTTTTCTTCAGACTCAGGGGACGATAAAATAAGGTATTGATCCATTTTTATAGGATTGTAAACCATCCCATTTTCAAGTACCCAATGACGGGAGACCCGTACGACTGGAGGATTATCCCACGAATCGAAACTGGTGAATAATCCGAATGATCCAATGGTCAGGGTCCTCCCTGATTTGTGGTTTTTCCATGGTTTTCCCGGGTCTCAATGGGGATGATCCTGATCTATCCTGATGATCCTCTCTCGACGTGTCACTTAACTGGGAGCCAACGTGTCCGGGCGTTTTCGGGTGACCACTGAGTGGGGAAATCATCCAGGGATGAACGGTTTTTGATCAAGACCCTGACAGTCGTCTTTTTTGGATGAATGTTTCAGTTCACCTACCCTCTGGTAAACTAACATAGCTATGGAAAATCACCATGTTTAATGGGAAATGTCACTATAAATCACCATTTTCAATAGCTATGTTAAATTACCAGAGGGTAAGGGATGATGTTTCCAATTGTTTGAAATTCAGACTGTTGGAAGGGTCCTGACTGTTTTGGGTCTTCGCCCTTTTTTGAAGAAGACACTAAGATTCATTTCCTCTGGAGTGTTTCCCGCAAATCAAACCTGTGAGTCAGCCAGAAATTGAGTTCCCCTGATGATTCATCGACGTTTTATCGTGTGGGTGAAATCCTACAACTTTGGCAAGAATATGAAGGTGTCCAAAAATGGCTAAACATAGATAATCATGTGGGGGTTTCCATGGGAGTAGCCCATTTGTTCTTTTTTTGGTTTATTTCAGGGAAAATCTGAAAATCAAATGGATGATTTAGGGGTACCCCCATGTATGGAAATCCCCATATAATATATATATATAAACATGAGTTGAAACTAAGCGCTCAATCAGAGCAAGCCAAGATGAAATAAATGGCTGGTTCTCCATCCGGTTCGGCATCCGTCCTAGATAGTGACTGGCTTCTGGGCACCCCGATTTACCTAGTTGGGAGATATCAAGGGACATGCCCTAGTTGCTATGCAGATATCAACGCATATATACGTATATATATATATATACACATACACACATAAACCAGGTTCCTATCATCCAGTTCCTATTCACATGTATTTACTAATTCAGACATGGCTGCATTCAACATGTCAATAAACATCCAAAAAACTCCGGTTCTATATAAGCATCTAGTATCACATGGTATCATTTTCTCAAAGCAAACCTAATTTCAGTTTGTAGTTATACTTGTTATACTTGGATGTACATCCCAGTTTGTAAATGGCTTATAGCCCCTGTATAAGTGGAGATATCCCATAACATACATATATATATATATCCATATATCATATAATTATGTATATATATATATGCACGCACATGTAACTGGGTACAATATGGTTGAACCACTTACTAGCTGAGCCATACAAAATAGCCTGGTTGATTGGTTAAATTTCATGTTAATATGGGGACCCTATGGGGAGCTATAATGCCTGGGTGATTGAGGTTTTATTATGAACAGTAGGGAAAGCTATCAATAAGTGGTTGGTGGTTTCAAACATGTTTATTTTCCATTTCATATATGGGATGTCATCCTTCCCATTGACGAACTCATATTTTTCAAGATGGTAGGTATACCACCAACCAGATATATGTGTTTGATTTACCCACTATAACCATCATTAACCATTAACCATCCATTAACCATCCATGGTAACCCTCCAGATGGTAGGTCCACGAGATCCATGGTAACCCACCAACCAGATAACCAGAGATGGGAACACGTGTCCGTCAGGTGGAAAAGGCCGTCGCTGGAGCCATTGGCGGAGTGCTTTTCATCGATGAAGCCTATGCTTTGGTGCGCGATGGCAAGGAGCGAATCGAACTGGATCATGGGAGAGTCACTGATCAAAATATATATATATAGTAATAATGATAATTAATAATAATAATTAATAATAATAACAATAATAATATATTAAAACTTTAGCAATTTTCCGAGAATTTGAAGGAAACCGTTGGTTTTGTTCGATTGAACTTCGATATTTTCTCTTGTTTTTGGCGAAAACCCCATGGTTTCCGGTGGATTTTCGCTTTCACCAATTGACCGAAGGGTTTTTCAAACCCGAAGAATGAGGTCATGGATGGAATCCCAGGAGGCCTTTGGGTTGGGAATTTTGGGTATTCCCCAATTTATTTCGATTTCAATGGGGAATATAATGTTAATTAAGCCCCTAGATTTGTTGTTTTGCCCTAAATGTTCTGACAAAGACATGGTATGTAAGTGTGAAATTAACCCTAAACAAGTCTCGACCTATCCAATCTTATTTGTTGTGGGGAGGTACCGTTCCCCCCCTTACATAGATTGATTTACAGCTACCGGGTAGCGTTCAAGGGCACCCTTAGGATTTTCCAGCAAATTGAGGTGAATATGGATCATGGGGGACGGAAACATGATGCAAACACTTGCTTGTTTAAAACAGATGATTAACAATGGTTGACCCGAACATCAGTAGTTTCGAATCTCAGGTTCACAATGTTGTTTCGGAAACTCACAGGGATGCACAGAGCTTTGTATGGCCAGGTATGGCCAGGTCTGGTGAGATGTTGGGATAGTTTTGGAGTTGTCGTGCTGTTTAGATACTGTTTAGATACTGTTTTGAAGAATCAGTAACATGCGTCCGCAAGTAAGGTACCAAATGGTTTGAACTATGTTGAACTTCAAGCAAGTCATCAGGCCGTTCAAACTCTCCGCTGCCTCGTCGTGTGAGGACAGCTTTGGGCAAGAAGCCGTGGATACCTTGATCAAGGAGATGGAAGACAAGCGTAACTTGGCGGCTTCATAAGCTACCAAAACAGGGGTGGGTGGTTGTTACCCGAAACACCAGGCTGTTTAAAATATTCTATTCTTGGGGGTACCCTGAAACTTCCACAAAAAACAATATGTGGGACATGTTTGACTTGTTTCCTGACTCTCGATGCTTGAAATCAACTACTTGCATTTTAACTACTTCCCTGAAACTTCATGCAGGGATTTGTTTGAAGATAGGCTACCACCTGAATACATTGCAAAATAACATCACATTCCCCATGAAATATTGTCATCAACTGGATTTACCCTCCAGTAATCAAACGTGGCAGTGGAAAATCCCACCATTTAAAGATGATTTTATCATGTTTTTATGATTTAAACAATAATATCCAATCATTTATAGGGATTTTCCCAGCTATAAACCTCCATTTCAGAGAGATTTTCCCATGATATCCGTTAGGCCACGAAATCTTTCCCTACGTTGACACCGGAGGGTGCGGGGGTTGGTTCATCCCACTTAGTGGGCTATCCATACACAACCCATATAATCCCATATGTAAGTGGGGATATTCCATCTATAACTGGGGGTATAACCCATAAAAACTAAGTGGGGCCCGCAGCCCAAGGGTAAGGGCTCCAACGTTCAGGCAAGAACGTGATAGTCATCCTGGCGGGCTATGATGCTTGGCTTTTTTTCGCATCCCGCGTTCACGAAAAACAGCCCATATGGTCCCAATGATGTGGAAATTCCTTACTAAACACCATGGTTTCCTTTGGGGATGTTGGGTAAATCTAATATTTTCATGGGGGATTGGAGTAGTTTGGGAGTTCAGCTGAAGATGATGTGGCTTATTTTCCTAGGAAATTCACCATGACTGGGGAATCCAGAAAGGGACTTGTTGTCAATGGAGATGCGGGCTCCGATAAAACTTACCCTCTGGTTATGTCAAACATAGCTATGGATAGCTATGGTATAAATGGCCCATAGAAATAGTGGATTTACGCAGCTGTAAAATAGTGGATCTTTCCATAGTTATGCGGCTGTGCAAAGCATGTTTACCAGAGGGTACATGATGATGATAAATTTGATGAGGATAGAGTTTGGGGCAAGTACCCAATGCGAAAATCGGCATTTCGATGCGAAAATGATCGAACCAACCGGGGGACTGTCCGCCCTTTCCATTCTTGATGACACATCCTGGGTATCAAAAAAGTGTTTTTACATTGCTTTGGGCTGGTTCCATGCATCTACTAGATTTCAACACCACAAGATATGGTGCATTGAACTACCATTCTGGTGCATTAGATGTTCATCCAAACTGTTCAAAGCCAAGATGGGTCCTTTAGTACTTTCATGTTTTGCCATCAATATATGTTTTTTTTTTTAAACACCAACTAGCTTAAGTTTTTTTTTTTTCCCGGGTATCTTAGATTGGCCATGCAACCCAACCAACAAGATCAGAACATGTCAGACCAGTGTGCTGTGAACCCGGAATTTTTACGTGGACTGGACCAAGCAGAACGGAGAATTGTCGGAGAAAAAAGACATGACATCATCAAACATGGATTATTTTCATGGATCTTGCATGATTTTGCCCATATTTTGCCAAGCAACATGAGGAAGTTTCATGGATTATGCCTAGAAACATCATGAATTTCACCCAGAAAGTGGTGATACCCAGGGCCTTGCCCGTTGAGCCCTGCCAGGAAGCAGAGATGGATAGCTTCTTCGACTCGAACCCGGGCTTCAAGAGCCGCGTGCCCTTCACCTTCCGCTTTGAGGCGGGGAAGAAACCCTGCCGTTTGCTACCCTAAGTCATAGCTGATTATATAATGGGTATTCCACCAAATATGGTATGTTCATAGGTTTTGAACCATCCCCATCTGTATATATAATATAATATATATATATAATATAATATATATATATAATACAATATATATAATATAATATATATATATAATATATATATATAATATAATATATATATATAATATAATATATATATAATATATAATATATATATAATATGTATAATATATATAATATATATAATATATATAAACATAAAATATATAATATATATATAAATAATATATATAATATATATAATATATATAAATAATATATATAACATATATAATTAATATATATATATAATATATATATAATATATATAAAATAATATATAATATATAATATATATAATATATGATTAATAAATATATATAATTAATATATATAATATATATATATATGTATTATATATATATTTAATCAATTAAAACATACATGATGCATCATCATGCCTGATGCATCATGATGCATCATGATGCAAACATCATTTCTTTTATATAACATATATATATATATATATGTAACATACACATACACATTGTACTGTACAGTTGTAGTGTACATAGACATGAGGGATGGCTTGGTGATCCCAGGCATCCCATTTATCAACCACCAGGGGAATTGCTTCGAGATTTTCTGCAGGGGTTGCCCCAGATGGAAAGGATCCAGGTGTTCATGTAGATTTTACAAAGGTACAAAACTGGTTGGTGGTTTCAAACATTTTTTATTTTCCATTTCATATATGGGATAATCCTTCCCATTGACTAATATTTTTCAAGATGGTTAAAACCACCAACCAGTAAAATTCTAAAGAACTCATCAACTCACATCTCCAGACCAGGACTACAGTTGCACTGAACTGGGGCAGATTGGAAGCCTTGCCACTTGGCGAATGCTTCTGTGATTTCGCTTTGAAAAGTCCCAGTGTCGAAACGGTCATATTTAAAGCATTGACCCTCTAGTTATTAACGTATATACCTATGGATGATTTATGAATATTAATGATGATTGACCCATTAAAAACAATGAATTGCATAGCTAGATAACAAATTACCAGGGGCTAAACCACAAAAAATCAAACAGCAATGACATGCAATGACTTTTCTTGAATCATCTTGGCACCCCGCTGCATCCCGCTGCTTGCTGGAGCTCAGGGAGCGACATCCCCGAACTAAATGAGCATTTTTTGAAGCTGGGAACATCATTTACCTGGGAAATTAACATGACATAGACATATATAGACCCTGAACATGATCCATTTTTAGTGCAAACAAGTCTGAAAAAAAGCTATCTGCCAGGGTCATCCAGGAGGTTAAACCAACAAGAATCGAGTTCAACACCGACGATAGAGAGGTACTTTTGGTGGGGTTGTAACTGTTGTAGCATGTTGTAGCTAACCACTTTTCTGGGGTTTGCAGATCGAAGTTTCTTGCGGTGAAATGGGTTTCCATTTAATTTTACAGTATCTACGGGGCCCATCGTTGAACAAGACGCAGCAAGTCTTCCCAACCACAGACATGCAATGATGAAGAGTTCAAAGGGCCGCTGAATTGGAACAGTTACCACCATTTTTGTTGCTTTTATTGTCTATCTACCTTCTTTTATCTGAAACAATCACTGAAATGACTCGAAAGCAGGTTCCAAACGCCATACAATACATTCAATACATGGATGATGTTGAGGGGTTCTCATTGTATTACTCCCTTCCTGCCAACATCAAACACTGTATTGAACTAGTGATCCATTCATAATTGGGGTCCCAAACATGGCAAGCTGCTGCCCCTCCAGTTCCATTTGTTGATGTTTTACCCATCTAACTAGCTCGCTTTTTTTCTATATCATGAACCCAGCAGTTAACAACTTGATAGGTAAACCACAACTACCTATCATGAATCCATATAAATCCATATAAATCCATATTTTTATCCCAGTTCTTGAGGGAGAAACATGAAAATTCACATCCCCAAGTCATGGTGGATGAACAGGTTACGAAAAAATCGGTGCCGCACCCGCCGAGGTGTTGAACTCGCAAGGTTTGTCTGTGGCAGCAGATGCACCTCGTTGATTAATATGGTTGGTTAACAAATGGTTTACATAGGTTTGATATATATGGTTCGATATATGGTTTGATATATGATTTGATACATTGTTTGATATATGGTTTGATATATGGTTTGATATATGGTTTGATACATTGCTTGATATATGGCTTGATATAGGGTTTGATATATGGTTCGATACATTGCTTGATATATGGCTTGATATAGGGTTTGATATATGGTTCGATACATTGCTTGATATATGGTTTTATATCTTGTTTTTATATGTTGTTTACTATACTGCTTCATATTTGACTTCATATACGGTTTAATATATTGATTGATACATTCCTTTATATAGTGTTTGATATGCGATTAATTGCTTGAATACTTGTTGTATTGAGTTCTAAAGTCATAGAGGCGATGCTGAGCCATACACAACTGCGTTGTTTTTTTGTTTTCTCATACCAGATTAGTCTAATAGATTATGCCCAGGTTCAGTAACAATAACCGAGGTAACTCACGTCCACATCATGATCGTGGATAACCACTAGTAGTGATATCATAATTAGTATGAGCACATAATTCATACTAACATTGCAATACAATGACTTCCTTTTTATTTGTGGCTGCACAATTATCAATTCCATTGGAAGAACGGACGTGTGACGTAACTGTATCATTGGAATGGTAAAGTGTTTCTTCATATTATTCATTTCATTAGTTCATATTGAGTCCAAATTGAAGACCCAGGGACCACATTCATTTTACTCATTTTAGTCGAGAGTTAGTACTAATCATCTCATTATTGGAACATCTTGTAACCATCTAATTATTGTTAGTATTGACTATTAACATATCTAATTAACCATTTGATATTAACCATCTATAACCATCTGATATTCACCATCTATTCTTAGTATTGACCATCTACTCCTAGTATTTAACCATCTATTCTTACTATTTAACCATTAGTTCTGGCCATGGTGTTTGCCATCTCCCAAGTCCCGGAAAAGAATCTCTCTTTGTTTTTCACCAAGGCCAGCCCTCGCTTGGAAGACCTCATTGCCTTCACCAGTGGCTGCTGATACTTGGAACGCACCGCACCGGAAGATGACCCGCAGATTCGCAACAAAAGTTTGAAGCTTCCAATTTTGGGGGTTTGATTATATGATATGGGTATGGATCAATACCTATTAATACCATTTTTAGGGGGTTATTCACATCCATTTACCAGCTATTTTGATGTGAACTACAGGGGTACTATTGGTTTTGACACACTGCCATATTTTGACCCCAAATCATCACCTCAGAGAATTGGCGCAACATGAGATCCCTTCTATTTGAAACATCCTAAAAGCCATGGGTTTTTTCGGGGAACACACATTGGTCACATCGGATCAGTGGGACCCACAACTCGCGAAACTGGGATGCATATTGTATCCAAGTGTTGATGGGGATTCGGTGGATTTAGATGCAAAATCGATGGTTTTTTTTTGGGGAGGTAGGGGTTGGATGGACGCTTAGCAAGGGATCAACAAACCAGCAACATCCCTCGTGCTTGACAGTCAGGAATAGAGACTATAACCATATATAACCACCTGGAAAGCCGTAGCCCATTGTTTCAGGCTACTTTGGCCCACTTTGGCCAATTTTTGTGTCACTTTACAGTTCTTGCACATAAAAAGGCACTTCGTCTTTTGGTGCAACATGTTCGGCAAAAGTGCCGCAAATAGCCGCCAAGTGCCATAAATACCCGTAGAAATCCTTCTCCTGAAATGGTACACTTTCCAGTGACCAAAATTCCTGGCACTTTGGAAAGTGCCCCAAAACAATGGGTGCCAGGCTTTTCAGGCGGCTGCAAGTTTGTTTTAACATGATATGTCACGGATGTGTAATTGTATCGTTTTTTTGGGTCATGCCAACTGTCGTTTTTGCATGGGAATTATGGACTGTTTTCGGCCAGTGTTTCTGGAATAAAAAGCCGAACTTGGGTGGCTGAATTAACCACCAATTTGAGGATATGGAGGAATACTATTATTAATATATTATTTATAATACTATTGAAATTATGCTGTTAAGAAAACGGATCACAACTTGTTTGAGGGACACAGGATGATGGGGCTCCGATCATGAATTCATAGCCTCTTCGTACCCGCTCAATAGCGGGTATAGCATGGTATAGCCACTAATCTCCTTGTATCTATGTCCCAAAATGGTGTATACACCGGACTTCAAATTAAATCTTCATTTTCCCTATTAAGATTGCCCTAAATTCAGCGCAATGCGCCATTAGGGATATAGCAAGCCTCAAGATGAAAACAGAAAGTACAATAACATCCTGAAACAGTGGTAAATGACTTTTTTATCCGTTTCTTTGTTTTTTCGGAGGTTTCTATAAACCAACGTTGTTTTCCCACCTCCCCACCGGTCTCCGCCACGAGGCAACGACATCGCCGCCCCTGACTGCCATCCCTCTCGGGACAACGGCAACGGCCGCACAGTGCGCAACGTCATCGAGGTACGCGGGGGCAGCTGACAGGCGCCAGGGACCCCCGCAGTGCCAAAGTGCTTCGATGTATCCAGCAGAATTTAACAGTTGGCCTGGCGATAATAGAGGATTTTTATGACCATATGTGAGACAGGAGTATGTAAGATTATGTAAGCAACAAAATGGGAGTATGAAACTAACCATGCAATTCATGGGATGTTGTATAGGTTATGTTATGAGATGGATACTCAGCATATATGAGTTTCTCCACTTTGATTTATCCAGTTCTGATGCAATTTGATCTATGGCTTCTCATGTTTTGTCCCAAAGCCATATATTGTCGCAATCATTATGAAGTATCCTTTTTAGCCATATGTTTTAACCCAATCGTTTTTCCCACTTCTTCTCCAACGGATTTTCATATCGGATTGGACAGTTACATCTAAATTATGTTCAATTCTTATCCAATGGGACACCGGGACACCAATTGTCCAAACATGGAACGTAGTGCCAGTATGATGGATCGAAAGGTGGTTGAGGATCTGAGTCTCTCTCTCTCTAATTCTTTCTGTCACCTTCTCTCTGTGTCTCTCTATCTCTCCTTCTGTCCGGCTAACTATTTGTCTATCTATTTCTAGTGTAGTTGTAGTTGTAGTTGTAGTGTAGTGTAGGTTTGCGTGGTGTAGTGTAATGTTGTAGTAGTGTAGTTCTGTTCTTATAAGTGTGACAACTGATATGTCTCCAACTGGAGACTTGCTTGTCACATCGCAAGATGAAAGGCGAATGACGCGTTGACAAGGGAGCAAAAGGCAAAGGCAAGAAAGAGGACAAAGATAAAGACAAAGGAAAACTGGTTGGTGGTTTGGAACATTTTTTATTTTTCCATAATATATGGGATAATCCTTCCCATTGAGTAAAATTTTTCAGAGGGGTTGAAACCACCAACCAGAAAGGCAAGGATGACAAAGGCAAGCGTAAGTCGTCTCATCGAAGCTGGCGGTGTCATTTTCTGTACCAGAACATCCGTCAGTTGGAATATTGGACATCTTCAAACTCTTCAACAGCTGATCAGGAACCATTGGACGGTTCGTTTGCCTTCTATGAAGTCTGACAAGGTTAGGCTTTCTCCAATGGTTGAGGCTTTCCTTGACATCAGTGAATTCCACTGTGCTGTTGCAAGTGCTTATCTCAGGTCCGTTGACAAGTTGGCCTTTCCTCGAGGACCAAACAATGAGAGTCGGAGCTGTTTCAATGTTTGTCTACAATGATGTCATGAAGCGTGCGACTGTGTCCAACATGGGTAGCCCATTGATGAAGTTCGCTGGACACAAAGATCGAAGGCCAGATTAGTCTTCTACCAGTTACCATTACTGGATGGAGTGACAAAAATTGGACAATGGGCAGATGTGGACGATTTCCAGACAGACAGCAGGTTGAGGCCAGATTCGATCCTGGATTACCCTCTGGTTATGTCAAAATAGCTATTGAAAATGGCCATAGAAATAGTGAGTTTTCCCATAAAAAATGGTGATTTTCCATAGTTATGTTAGTTTACCAGAGGGTACTTGGCGTCAAGCTTTGATCCTTTAGAGCTTGCCTTTCTTCGCTGTTTCGTACAAGAAGTACCTTTCGATGCCAGCGTTGAGATGCCAATCTGGGGCAACGCTATCTTTGAAACACCCAATGCTTGGGGGGTGCATTTCGTTGGTGAATTGGGATATAACCCAGATTTAACTGGGGTATTGCATACATGTAAGATTAGGGTACCCTACGTTAAACTAACATAGATATGGAAAACCAATAGTTTCCCTAGGAAAATGATTCAAAATGATCTACATTGAAGGTGGGTTTTCCACATCTACGCAAACGTAAAAAAGGAGGGTAATTCGATCAATAGCCCATTAGTATTCCATTATTTTTCCTTTTAAACGATATACTGTAATTATAACCCACATGTATAACAAACACACATATTGTAGGTACATATCACCCCCACCAAAAAAAAAAAACATACTGTGGTTATCAACCACTTACCAACTGGCTTGCACATCCAAGACGTACGGGCATCACCACATTAAGTTCACCTCCATAAGTTGGATTGGAAGCCTCTATAGCTATGGTATACCATCGTTATAAACCGACCAATTATGGTTATTATATTAGTGTTGCTATCCACTTATGGTTATATAGCTGGTTTATTACAACATGGTTCTGATTATTGCTATTTACAATAGTATATGGTTATGATTATCCATTTATGTCACTTGTGGTTATATAGCTGGTTTATTATACGAATACTTGCCTTATTTCCTTATTATGATTATATAATATGATACCATATATAACTATTAGCCGTAACTGTCAGTTATTAATTATAATGAGTTATAGCCGTATATGGGTATAAAAAATATTAACTATTGACTGTTGACTATTCGTTATTAATCTTAACTATCCAATTGTTTTGATGTTTGTCGTAATGCTAATAACAAGGGATACCAACCATTAATACTATTTACTAAGTCTGAGAATAGGCTACCTCAAAATCCAATGGTTTGGAACCCGGTTTCCCTTTTCGACATGGTCATTTTATGGTATCCACCATTTTCAGAATAATGTTAACCATCAACTATATATAAACTATCGACGATCAACCGTTAACTATTTTACTATATTGACTGTCAGGTAATATGGTTAACAATCCAATTTTACGATAAATTTTACTTATGGTTAACTATATTATACTATATTAGCATATATTAACTATGAACCATCCACTATTTCTGGTGAATCTCCCATTTCTTCTCCACCCGTCTGCCTCTCACTGAGTCGGCCGTCACGAGGCCTTACAGCGCGCCATGGCTCGGCGTGTGGTGCAATCTCAGCGCCTTGGCGAGCGATGTTGGTGCCCCAGTGGGTTCGATAAAACATGGGAAAACATAGGAAAACCATAGGAAATCCATAGGAAAACCATAGGAAAATGGAGGTTTACCCTCTGGTTATGACTAACAGTTCGCCATGGTATAGATGGTCCATAGAAATAGATGGTTTACCGTTCTGAAAAATGGGTGGATTTTCCATGGCTATGTTAGTCATAACCAGATGGTAATGATAATAGTTGTTAATGACTGTGTTGATAAATAGTTATATATATATATATGTTATGTATATATAGTTATTGACACAGTTATTCATGATAGTAGTTATTAACACAGTTATTGACACAGTTACTAATGATTAATAGTTATTGACACAGAAAAAATGACACAGTCATTGACACAGCTGTCAGTAGTTAATAGCTGATTTCAGTAGTTAATAGCTGATGATACAGTTATTGATGAGTGATTGGTTATAGTTATAGCCTATAGCAATGTTGACGAGTAGTAGTCGATTATATAGTTATTGATGTTGCTCATCAACTGTTAACTTATTACATATTTCAATAGTTAATAATATAGTTGTAATATTGAACAACTTATTAACTTCACATAACCGTTGGTTTATGATTCACCCATCCAAAGCTAGATATCCCATCAGGAGTCCCATCATGATCCATACGTCATGTAGTTGTTTCTCCATTGGAATATGGGGGTGTCCATAGTCCTATCAGGTACCCCCATCAGCTGGATGATTATTTCATGGAAAATCCGAAAATCCTATCAAAAATGATTTGTGTGTATTTCGATGAATTGGACACATCCAAGAACTATTGGGGATATTCCATCTCTAACTTAAATACTTGAAAGTGATGGTCAAAATCACAAAAAAACAAAACATTTACCAACCTTTGGATGTTGACCTTTGAAAAGAACACCGGAAGATGCTTGGTCTGGTCACATATAAGTATGGGTGTGTCTGAAAATTTCCTCAGCTGTGGCCATGAAACAATAGGGAAAATGATCTACTTGGGATTTTTATTTGGGGATCTTGAACCCATAAATCCAAGACAAATGAGGACTTAATGGGGATTATAATGTGATATACAAGAAAGACTATGACACACTATTCAGTTGATCCAGTGGTGAATGGTAGGAACGGAGAAGGTGGAAGTAGGATACCCATATTCCCACACCTACTAAATGGGGAGGAAGTTGGAGCTTCGAATGGAGTTTCCCAACCACATGATACAGTAGTTTTTGAGTTGTTTATATTGAGTGGTTCATGCATGCTGCAGATAGGTTTGTCCGAACATTCTGGACATTTATCAACAACTGTGGGTTAACGCTTGAAACCAAGGATGATATGGGATATAATGAAATGAACAGCTTCAGTATGATCTAGAAATGGGAGATACCTCCAGGTTTTTGCTGTTCGAATGCTGATGGACTGCCTCTGACCTGCAAGGTGGGTTCCCCCAAACGTGAAAACGTTTGTTGGTTTAGTTGCACCCCATGAAAACTAAGATCGATCTATCTACCACTAAACCACAGTTCACCTACAGGGAACTGCGAAAGTCGTCTCTTTTTGTGTTGTTTTCAAGAAATCAGCTGCGGAACAGTGTCTCGCAGAAGTCGTCTCTTTTTGGCTTCCCACAAGCTGAATGCAGGATTTGTGATGATGTTTTGTTTTTGACCCATTATTTTGCGAATGTTGCGTTTAGGTTGGTGTTTGCATGAAAATACTCAGGGGTCTTGTTGCTTAAATGTTGTGTTGCCTGTATAAATGATTTCTACAATTTCAAGATCGTAGGTGAAAAAAACAATCAGTAAATCTAGCGTTCACATGGGGGAAACCATCAAAGGGATGACTTAGGGATGATTTCTTGGAAACAGCGTTGACAATGGGGAAAACCCAAAAGGGACAGTGAGGGATGACTTTCACTTCTACCTGTAGTGAACTAAAGCAACTTGCCAATTCAGATACCCTCTGGTAAACAAACATAGCTATTGAAAATGGCCATTTATAGTGCGTTGTCCCATTAAAAATGGTGATTTTCCATAGTTATGTTAGTTTACCAGAGGGTATATCAACTCACATTAACTCACATTAACTCATATTAACTCTATCCATCCCAATCTTTGATGGTTAAATTACCCGTTTTACATTTTTTTGTGGCTCCTCTTGTCTGAGGAGCACCGATATGGCATCCCTACAGACGTTGACGCTGAAGGACTTGACATTGGTGGCAGAGGAGCAGGCTGCTGCACGTCTGGAGGCGGCCTGCAGGTCTCGTGTTGTGATTTTTTCCCATGAAACATGTGGTGATTGTTGTTTTAACCGGTATTTACCAAGGAAAATTTTGTGATTTTCATGGGATTTATATTTTTTCGGATTTAGGCAAGAAAAATGGTGAGCTAATGGGATTTATATGGGATTTAGCCAACAACAATTGTGACTTCATGGGGTTTAATGCGGATATACCCTCTGCTAAACTGGCAGTTTGCTATGGAACTTGGCCCTCAAATATAGATGACGTACAGTTTTCAAAGATGGTGACTTTCCAATAGTTATATTAGTTTACTGGAGGTTACTTTGATCTATCGAACAAGACCAATAGAAAAGAGGAGTTAATGGGGATTTAACGCGATGTATCATCAACAGCAACCAGAAAATGGTTTTGTCTGAAAATAGGGCATCCCTAGATCCGTTAATCATCATCAAGATATTAAGCCTACTAAAACAGGGGTTGGTAACTGTCCCATTTTGGGAATATTGGACATCACCTTATAGTAGCCATTACAGACCATATACCTAATGGTTGGGTGATGTTCAATGGGGACATTTAATGACCCATGTAAAATATGATAATTTGGGGGCATACCTCAGACAAACCCATCCTATGATGGATCGGAGTCGCCGGATGTCCGGACATCCCTCCGGTGTCATCAAACGTGGCCGCTGGGAAATCCCCGATAAATGGAGGCTTCAATGGGAAAATCAATGGAAATCATCAATAAATGGAGAATTTTCCATTGCCACGTTTGAATTCACCGGAGGGTACATAAAACTGGGCGGATTTGATTGCTATACGTTTTTTTTGGTGCATCTGTTGGGGTTTAGATGGATTTACCCCACACGCCACGGACAGACTTTTTAACTTTTAGCATGGGATCAACAAACCCAAGAAAAGAAAATCACTCATGATCATGTGCGGTTTTATGATCTGGTTGGTGGTTTGGAACATGAATTTTATGACTTTCCATTCAGTTGGGAATTTAGAATTCCCAACTGACGAACTCATATTTTTCAGAGGGGTGGGTTGAAACCACCAACCAGTGATGCAATATGATTCAATACATTCATACACCGCGATCACTGATGATTTTTCCCTCATGACTCTCCTTGTTATCCCCGATGCATATTCCACATGTTTGGCTGGGGTATACTGTTCAAAGTGGAATGTGTATCCACAAGAAATAAGATATTAAGCAACCCTCTGGTAATCAAACATGGCAATGGAAAATCCATAAAATTCATTCATTTGGTTGGACGATTTTCCCGTTCACACCTTCATGTTCATCTGATTTTCCAGCTAGCCATGTTTGATGACCGAAGGGTACAAAAAACTGACCAGCGCCAGTAGTCCTGTGGGAATCAGGGGCTTACCAGCAAATGGAAGAGGATAGACAACACAGAAGCAAAGACCCAAGATTTGTTTGAAAATAAGGTGCCCCCAAATCCATCCAAATCCTATTGTGTATGATCACGTTCCCCATATTTTTCCCATTTACAGATGGCAATATTGGGGAATTCCCCACTTCGAGACAAGCAGGGATCTTAAAGGCCACAGTTCGTGGGTAGCCGAGAGCAGGATTGAAATGAAGCAACTCAAATCCTGGATTTGAAAATTTGATCATTGACATTAGGTCCCTTGAACAAAACAATCAACAACGAGAACCTTCAGAAACATACATGAAAATGAACTTGCAGGACATTGTGTAGATGCGACGCATGTTTTGTCCCTTGAACTGTGCGTGAAATTTCCGTTTGATGTTTCAAGGAGTCTGGAGGTTGTAAGTTGAAGACTCGAAGCGCAAAGACGACAAAACTCATCGTTTTCAATTGTGCTTCTATTGATCTAAGGTACCAGTGTTGATCGGTAATGAAATGAGAATTATACTAATTGTATCTACTTGTACTAGATAGGTTATTGGGGATTATGAACTAATCCAGAGTAGGGAACCTATCAACCATAGTGTTCAAACATGACCCGCCCCAAGCTGATGAATTTCCGTGACGGATGTTCCACTGTGTTCCACTTCCTTCCACTTCCTTCCACTTCGTCACAGGGCCCCTGCGGACAAACTGGGCTGGTCACAACTCTGGCAGAAGCTGCTGACAAGAAGGCGCTGGGTGGGATTTTAGCCAAGCGAAGTGTCCTATTTTTAGACCACCATGGTCATTTTCATAGGGGGACCAATGGTCTTGGGTCTTGGGGTCCCGCATTTTTAGGAAAGCCATGGAAACCCTCATGGAATATTCAGGTATTGGGATGTACATCCAACCGATGGGAAAAGGCCCATGGGTTTGGTTTTGGCCACCCCTTAGAGGGTCCCGTGGATCGTACCTGCTTCACAACCCTATACTTCCCCCAAGTAGTGTATCCCTTTTGTAACTGGGTTATGTATGTATGTATATATATACATATACAGTTAATTATGAAATTATATATATATATACATAAATTATATATATATATACATACACACATATATATATTAATACTGTGAATGGCTATTCACACTGGTAGTCCTCTCCCCACACAAGCCCTCCAAGGCTCGAACGCTGCTTTTTCCCCAAGCAGCAACATGCCACTGTCAAGTGGCAGCAGATGTTCAAATGCGCAACCAAGGACGCCACGTCCTGCAAATGCTCCCTGAGCAAAGTAGCAATGGCCAAGCAATGAACCCACCCGCCGCTTCACCTTTGATATGGGCCCTGAGCCAAGTATTGCTATTCGCATGAACCATGTGATCAAAATGACCCTTCTGTGGGATTATACTTTGGCAGCTTAGGAGGATCCACTTCTTTGTACTGCTGATACACCTTGCAATGTTGAGAAATTCACAATATACATACGTATACATATATACATATATACATATATATATACATATAGTAGCACCCCCCAAGAAGATGTCTAACAGCGTGACGGCGTGCCACCAGGATGGTAATTCGATGATATTCATTTCATATTTCCAGATGTCCAACTTTTCTATCTATGACTTGTGATGGCTATATAGTTAATATGTATACTTGGTGGTTCTTCCCAGTTAGTAAGAGAGTTCACCCCAAGAAGTGGACATTGCCCCTACAAAACACCCATGACTATCAATGGATTGGTTTAAGGGAACATATTAACCGGAAACCATCGATTTTCCCATGAAGATCATGGGGGCTTTCCGGTTAAAATTTCCCTTAAACCAATCCATTGAAACTAGGGTGACATAGCCGGGATGAACCACCAGTGACCAGCCGCTACTGGAACACTCGGAGGCCGGTCTGGCGATGTGGAACAAGATGCTTGGTCAAAAAATGGTCGGAAAATGATTTTTACTAGGGAATTGAGCCCATAAAAACCGATAAAGCTATATAGAGATATAACGATTTTTGATGGCGATTTTTGATGGGATATACAATATAATTACATCAATATACAATGTAGTAAACTATCTCGGAGCGCCTCGGAGCTATGGGCATGCGTATCCAAAAACGAGGAGCGGTTCGGAACTACGAATTGAGTTTCCCAGCCACATGACAGAAGTGGCAAGCTGGCAATTTCCAATTTTTTTTGAAGAACATATGGGAGAATCATCTTTCTAAACGGGTGATTTTCCATTGGGCAAGACATTATTAGATACCGAAGGATTATTTTTCCTCAAGTTGGATTCATTCCCGGCTGTAGTGATTTCAAGGAAATGGCCAGCTGGAAAAAGGCCAAGTATCCAATTGTTCCCATGTGTGACCATCGGAGGGTAAACTGTAGCTGTGTTAGCATACTTATCTGTGTAAATGATAACGACCTCACTGTTCTCCCTCATTGGAATCATGGTTAGTAAGGGGAATCATCCCCAAATGGCCCAACATTTCAGGTTAGTGAAATATTATAATTTACCCAGATACTTATTGACTTGTGGAACTAACTGGTTGGCTGGTTGAGAAGGATTCCCAGGGATTTGAGACGAAACTATAGCAGCTACACTCAGCGCTTGGAGGAGGACTTTCCATTGGAACGCTTTGAAAAGGGTCTATATATATTTAGTTGGGGGAATGGTATATCACAGATTCAACACAATATCCACCATGCTGATGAACATAGAATCCAGATCACCAGCACAACATGAATATCTCCATGAAAGGAGTTGAACAGTGTTCAAAACCCCTGATGGTTGATGGTTATACGGGAAATCTGTTCTTACCAAACCAGTTTTTGAAGGGAGGATGGCCTGAGTAAACCCATAAACACCCTGATATAACGTTGGTTTCCCCGAAAAAAAAATCACTTAGTCCCCAGTTATCCCCCAAAAAACACTGGCTAACCAGGAATTACCAGCTCAGCAAACCCAACGAGCAGCTCTACAGGACAGCCCCAGCCGCGATGGGTGGACGATTTTTTCAGATACCCTCCAGTAAAGTAAGGATAGATAGCTATTGATACTGTATATATATATATTTATATTATAGATGATTTACCTTTAAACATGGTGATGTTCAATCGTTATGTTAGTTTACCAGAGTGTATCTCTTAGAGTCAAGTGACCAATTTTACCCACCAGAGCTGTGATAATCCACAATCAAGCCAGGGGTACTATGAATCATTGGGATCTTCTTCAGGCATTTGACGACACCATTACTTTGTGCGAAAATTACTCTCTGTGGAATATATATACACACTATTTAGTTTGATGATTTTACCGGTTGGAAAGATGACGATCTTCCACAACGATAGGTTTGTGTACTGGAGGGTACTGTACTGAATATGACTTGATCTGAAGTAGAAAAGGAATATTGTATAAAATACACTGGAGGGTGGTACCCATCGCTTTTCAAAAAATGGTGAGGGGATCACGTCATTTTCAGAATGTGGAATCCAATGGTTTGGTGGGAAACATCGGAGATTGAAGCAGCAAATAGGAAGCATACACTGAAGGGACTGACGGAAATGAAGGTTTTTATAAGATTCATAGCTTCACACATTTCTTGGGATCCTTTGGCTTAATGGTGCTGAGGGAATGGGGGAATACTGTAATCCAATCCATAACTATTAACAATCATCCCATTCTCCTCCTACTAAGCAGCAGTAAGCGCATAGTTCGATGTTTGATGGGGAAAACCCTGGTTTCCGGTTAAGATTTTCCCTTCAACCGATCCAGTGCTAGCCAAGACTTGACTTTTTTTCGGTTCGTATCTAGGTCATGAGAGGTGGATCTAGCATCAGCGATACCCCACATATTTCCTCTATTATTCATAGTGCCGTCCACGGGATCTATATGTTAATCCCATCCGCCTTATAATGCTTGGAACAAAGCACACGATTCACCACATTCTCAGAAGGTTCTTTTTCTGTTCCGGACTACTGGATCATACTGGATCTTCTATTTTTGGGGAGTACTGAAATTTCACTTGAAGAAATCCTAGCTCTTGGGTCGAACATAAACTCAGAAGTACGGAGAAAGAGGTGGATGATTGCTGCAAAGCCCCCCATTACCATGATACAACCATCTTATCTATTCATATCTATCATCCATCGAATCCATCGCAAGGATGGTGCGAGAAAGCCAGCGACTTTCCAAGTCCTTGAGCAGTTTCCAAAGTGCGCGGGCATGGGGCAGGCTTGGGGCAAAATCACAACTTCAAGGTGGGGAAGAAACATGAAGAAACTCGAACTTCACAGGTGCAAAGCTGAAAATTGTCAGAATACCCTGGGATTTTATGGGATTTAAAATCTCATGCATTCTAATCCAATTAATGCTACTAGTACCCTGTGGTATTCCTTTACAGTTTGCTTTCTTAAAGCCTATGGCCCGTGAAAGGTTCGATGATTTACCGTTTTGAAAAGTGGTGCATTTGCTCCATAGCTATTTTAGATTACCAGAGGGTATCCCCATTGGCCAAGAGGTTCTCTCCCCGGCTTAGGTGAATTTGTTGGCATCATAATCTTGAGGAACACATTTGTTTTTTTTCAGAAAACAGGATATACCAGTATATACCATTATATACCACATGGCCATTTGATATCATTTACTGTATATAAGGGATACTGATTGATCCATGGCTCAGACAAACCTTTCGCATAATTGCACAAGATCCAGGAATTCTTCTCCCTCTGTCATTGGATTGGTTTAAGGGAAAATTTACCGGACACCCCCATATTTAATGGTAAAAACTATGGTTTCCGGCTTCCGGTTAAGATTTTCCCTTACACCAATCCAATGACTCTGGCAGCTACAAACACCGTGGTCGTTTTTCCACGACTGTAGGTACATTGCTCGGCAACCTACAGACGCAGTGTAGCACTGGCCTTGACAACTTGGTGAAGAAGCTGGAGAGGACAGCCATCGTCAACAGGGGTCAGGTTGTAAAGGGTATGGAAAAGGTGGGGAGACCCCAAGCGACTGGAGATTGCTTGGAATCAAATTGGTTCAAATTGCTATAGTTGTAAAAACACACCTTTTCAACATCTCGTTTGCTGCTCATTCACCACGAATCCTTGGGAATATCTGAAATATCTCGCGGCAAAACTTAAAATTAATAGGAACTAAGACTTAAATTATCTCAAATCCTACCCTCTGGTAAACTAACATAACTATGGAAAACCACCATTCTTAATGGGAAAATCCACTATAAATGGCAATTTTCAATAGCTACGTTAAATTACCAGAGGGTAGCTTTGGGGTCGAACGTGGACCAAGTCTTCCCAGTGAATAGATTCCAGTTGTTTCTTTAGTCACTTTAGTCTTTCTCAGTGCTGCTGAGCAGTCCCAAAAAATGTCGATCGCGATTTGTGATAACCCCTGATAGTGATAACTTGTACCCAGTCAGTATGATGAGATGGGATAGGGGTATTCTTTAAAGACTCATGCTACTACGACCCAGTATCTGGAATATGCGTGAATTTCCCAGTGATATGCGATTAATTCATATGAGATAGGATCACATAATTACGTTCAGCGTGTATATATATATATACACATACATATATACATATATACAAATATATACATATACATACACACATATTTATATATATACATATGTATATATATATACATACATAGGTATATATATATATATACATACATAATATATATATATATACACATTATATATATACATTATATATATATACATACAGTGTTTACATGTGGGTCATACATACATAAGATGGCTTATGAGTTAGCAACCCATTTACAGTCGATATGTATCTCATACTCAAGGATTATTATATATGTATACGTATGCGCATATCTGCTGTATGTAAATGGGCTGCAAACTCATATATGATGCAATCTTGAAAATTGGTGCACTCAAACCAGCTGCCACGAAATTGGTCCCTCATGTATGACACCGAAATGTATAGTACATAGATATATGCAGAACATAATTGTGGGATGCTAGCTATGCAAACTCATATGGACTAATCCACATGTCACTGGGATATTCATGGATATTCCATATATACATATTCTGGCCAATTTAACCATGGAAATTGCTCATTTCTAGTTGATGAACCCATTAAAATGGTGATTTTCCATGGCCTTTTGTATGTTTACCAGAGGGTAAGCGACTATTTTCCATCGTTTTCCATATTCCATAGAGATATATGGAGATGGGTCAAAACCTATTACAGTATCACCATATTTGGGTGAACAAACATCCATTAGCCAGCTATTTTAAGGTACAAAGGGTCCCAGGTTTTGACTCATAGCCATGTATAATATATATATATTCTAGCATGGGTTATAATATATATATACACTATACTGTATATAACCATTATATATTCTAACATTATATACTATAAACCACTACCAACCACTATAAACCACTCAGAATTCCCGGGTCCCTTCTTTCGCAGGAAGATTCAGGTGACCTGCGATGGGATGCTGCCCAAGATGACCAGACGCTTGGGCGAACATCACGTCGCGACCGCTGTCAATTTGTGGATGATTTATGGGAAAATATTGGGATATGAATGGGATTTTAATGGGATATGAAACTGGGAGATGTTCAACTCTTCAACTCGGAAAATGATGGGTAAAACAGGTGGTTTTCATGATGGGTTAATGGATTCATGGTGAATCATGGAGGTATAACCAACAACGAATAGAAGATGAGGTTTACCACCCATAAAGCTGGTGATGACTTGGGGATGGTAAACATGGCATTGGGTTCATTAGAGATAAAGGAGATAAGGGGGTTGTGTTTTTATTTCTATTTTTAACCAATATTCTTCAGATCACTTTTTTTCCCGAATGTTTGCATGTAAAAATGGTGAACAGGATTAAGAGTTGGATTTTACCAGATTTTCATGGGTGAATCAGACTCGGTACTCTTTGGGACGAGGGGGAAGAACCATCATTCAATTCGATGTGATCTTCCAAACTTTTGGATTTTATCAGCAGTTCATGGGGTGTATTGGTTTCATTGATTAGCAGTTTATGATGTATTTTGTTGCTGTAATTCGTGAATATTGACGAGTTGATTAGATTTTTTAAATGTGTTGCTTCCAAATGTACTATACACCATTATTACACCGTTATTACACCATTATTACACCATTATTACACCATTATTACACCATTATTACACCATTATTCAATGTTTGGAGGTACTATCTGAGGCTACTTGTAGGCATTTTGGCGGAAGCAATCGTTTGAACAAGCTAAACATTACTATTTTGCTTGCGACCTGATTGCCAGCCTCAAAAATGGCAAAGGTTTGCCTCTCGTCAAACAAGACGAAGTAAATCAGGGGATTTATGAGAAATCCATCAACCGTTCGGAAAATGATATGTAAATGATATGTAAATGATATGTAAATGGAGATATAAGGCGGTAAAGTCCTCCGGATAAAATGCTTGGTCTACATCATCCATAATCCCAGATACAAGAAAACATGTATGTCAAATCTGGATGAATCATAGTGACCTCAGGTCGTGACATCACTTGAGTAATGATTAGATAGCCCGGAATCATTCCCAAATTGCCGAACTGTTAAAGGTTTTTCAGGATGGTGAATTAATGTAATTCAGCCAGATCAATTGTCCAGTTCTTGTCTTGGGTTTGTTTAAGGTGTTTTTTCCTTTATATAATATGGGAACATGCACCATGACTGAAACTTCCATATGAAAGCAACAATGTAGGCTTATATAACAAACACAAATTGGGGAGGCACACCCCATTTGTCATAGCCGACACATCTTGTTTCTGCATGTTTCTACCTCCATGTGCATGTTGCTTGGATGAACATGAATTTACCAGCTATTTTGCTGTGAACACAAGGGAGGAATCGATTCATTGGAGGTACCTACGATATGTAAGGTCTATTTGTTGGGGCGAAATTTCAGAGGATATCCCCCCAAGTTCTTATGGCTTAAAGTAAAGGATTAACGTAGCTCCATTTTAGGATCCTGGAATATTTGGAATTCCCATTGACTGGTGAAATGTTGCGCTTAATGACAGCCGTACAATGGTGAGGCGAGTTGGAAAACACAGGCAAGTTGACAGTGGCGCAGTTTGATGCTTGGCACATCCTGGAGCCGGAAAGACCTGGTTGATAGCGAACCGCTAAGCATCAAGGGGTACTTTGTTGCCAGAAATAGGAAGAACGACGAATCAATTAAAACCATGTTTTGGCATTGTATATATTATATATCGGAAACCCATAAGCCATGTGGAAATGCTGTTGTAACCACCCCCCACAAAAATCCTCCAACTGGTCAGCAAAATGCCACTGAAGTGAAGACCCAATTTCCAATGGTCACTGGCTGGACATAGGATCATAGGGGTGTGTGTGTGTAACATCTAAATAGATGTAAAACTTATCCTTTTTCTTTTTCTTTTTCTTTCTTCTCTCCTTTTAATAAAGCAGTTTCGATATCAATTTCCGAAAATGGCGACCGGCTAAGCCAAGAACCGGAAGGCAGAACTTACAACCAGGTTGCACGGTTTCCACAATCTGATCAGTGGAATTTTCGAAAACCTTCTTCGACGATGATTGTATTTCTCACTTCTTGGGGACCTACTTGATTGTCATTTCGGAGTACCTTCTATTGGTCGACCTATTCATCTAGGATTTTTTGTTTTCTTGACTAATTTGCATGTTACAGGATTCAGTTCCTGATGGATCCCTTCAAAGATCCAATTTTGTCTAGTGTGTGTGTGTTAGTTCAAGAGCTTTGGGATCTTGGTCCTGTTTAGGACTGAACGATCCAAAATGCATGTGAGCATGGACCAACTTTTCCTTTGTGGATGAACATCCGTTTATTTACTCGCTATTTTCGTGAAAAAAAACAGGAATTCCATGGTTGATGTCGTTTGTAGCCTTGGTCGTTGTCTTGGAGCTCTTCATTAGAGTTAGCCTCCCGTAAATGGGAGTTTCATGGGAATCTCGTGAGAAGAGAATACTGCAAAAATCTCGGGAACATAAGAGGTACATCATGCGAGTGGAGATATCTTCCAAATATAGTAATCTGATACTTAAATCGTAGCCCCCAATCAAACAGCCTAGGGGTTTATTATTCCAGGGTTCACATTACACCTAGAGAGGTTACCCTCCAGTAATCCGTCGCTTGCTGGAAAATCTCCATGGCTAGTCCGAGGATTTCGCGGCACGTTTGATGACAGAGCTGATCAGAATCCGAACATGATCCTCCCGTAGAACCAAGTAAGCTTTAGAGGAGTAGTTTATGCAGCTAATATATATACGTACATATAATATATATATATAGACACACATCTTTTGCATTCTTTTGCAGGATATTCAAGATTAGCAGCGAAAATGGGATTTGTTTTCCCCTGTAAATGGACGTGTTTTCTCTGTTTCAAAGGGGGTTATCTTTCATTCCTATGTACATGGCGACTAGTGACTAGTATGATGTCTCCCTCTTCCGACACCAACCCTTTGGCACCGCTTCCTGCCTATGAGTCAAAATACAGACCTCTCAGACTCTGGGCACACAGATCAATGGACATATTTCCGGCCATCCACTCGTTTTTTTCTGGGACATCCAATGGCTTTCACACTTAACTTGTCACATGTAACACACACATATATATATAAATAATATACATGCACATACATACATGTATAGATGTATACATGTACATACCATCATCACCATCACCATCAGCATCGCCATCAGCCCCACCATCAACATTGCCAGCATCATCCTCATCATCATCACAATCATCCATGCCTTTCGTATCGTTACATCCCATGCGCCGAGGAAGCACTTGTCATGCCCCTGCAGATGACATCCAAAGAGGCCGACTTGGTAGTGAGAACCATGGGAATGAAACTGGCGAAATTCAGAACATAGGGACTAGGTAGTTTAACGTAGCTATTGAAAATGGCCATAGAAATAGTTGATTTACCCATTGAACATGGTGATTTTTCATAGCTATGTTAGTTTACCAGAGTGTACTTCAAAACCACGGAACTCCCCGGACGAAGTTGCTTTGGAAGATTATTCACTTTTTGGGGTTTGATGTTGACTTCTGTTGGTTAAAACGAAGGGAAAAAAGGTTGGAACGCACGACGTGCTATTCCGAAGAGCGCAAGTCTTGGGATGGTTTAGTGGCAACTTTGACGTATGCTCAAATCAGGTTGCAATGCTTGTAAATGTCAAAGGCTTTCAATTTGGGTAATGATTTTGTTTGCATCAGAAATATACCCCATCATATTTTCTTAGTTTTTCTTAATCATTATGATATTGATGACATTATCGTTATAACATTCTGAGATAATATGCGATGTCATCGTTTCCCCATTTACCATCATTTACCAGTAGCCAGTACACCAACCAAATCCCAATGGTTCTCAGCAAAATGCCCATTGTTTTTGTTGGCAAAATGCCCATTGGTCCACCACCATAGTCCACCATGGTCCACTCGGAACTGCAGTTGTTCCAGGCGCTCTATCTCTTGGAAATCTTCAACAATGAGGACCTGCCCTCCCCCTTGGACACCCTGCAGGTCGCCCGGTCGCCGTCCTGGACTCCGATAGGAAAAGCTGGGTTTTTCACTGGGGATAGGAAAACCACAACGGGTCAAGAAACATGGGGGGTGTAACTGGCCAGAATTTTTTGTGATGTTTGGGTCAACAAGTAGTCTGGGCAAACTTGGGGACTTCAATACTTAAATCTTTTGTGAAATAAATAGACAATACTGAAAAATCGTTTGTGTCTAAATAGATCCAGATGGGGAAAAAATAACCGACCCTGCTAAAAAAAAAGATGCAGCTAATCTAACATTATGTAACATTCGCTATGCCCGGCGTCGTTGTGCCATGGGAATGCTATGCCAGATTTGTTTTTTCACCTCGTCGGAGACCTCTGAAGTCTCCCATGGTACCCTCTGGATCCCTCTGGTATTTTGTTACATAACTATGATATCAATCCATACCCATATATAGATATTGGATATCAATGATATCCAATATCTATATATGGCTATGGATCAATACCTATTAAATCTATTAATACCATATTTTTAGGGGGTTATTCACATCCATAAATCCCAGCTATTTTGATGTGAACTACAGGGGTACAAGGTTTTGACACACTGCCATATACCTACTGAATCATATTGAATATCTATTAATCCCATTGAGGCTACTTGGAGGGCCTAGGTATCAATCCTATTAATTAATAATCCACCAATATTACCAATATGTACTGTATCCCGATATCCCTATTTATGATCCCTATTGATAATCCCTCTTAACAGTCCCGTTAATCCCTAAGTATGTTCATATGTCCCCAGTATCTCCCAACAAGAATCTCTATTCATCCGATATTCATATTACTAATCCCCATGTCTATTATATCAAATCATATCCCTTTATGGAGGTTTCCTAAAATAGGGGTACCCCTAGCCTAAATCATCCATTTATAGATGGATTTTCCACTATAAACCATCCAGCTATTGGGGACCCCCACAAATGGAAACCTCCATGTAAACCCTACAGAGGAATTCCTACAGTGATGGCTGTTTATTAATTATTAGTGGTTTTCCCACTGGTTATTTCTATGGGATTATACATGCCATAAATGGGGTTAGCTCAGTACTTATACCTGTTCAAAGGCAATAATCCCTGTTATATCCAATTATATCAACTTATTCCATACCATATCACAATCCCTATATATATCCCTATATATATATATTAATAATCCCATATCTATTGTATCCAACTGTGGGCCATATCATCTATTATATCCCTATATAAACCCTATATAACAGAATAATCCCTACAATGTGGGGCCCAAACGATATAAATTGGTTTATAAACCCCATGAACTATAGTTATTTGCGTATCATAAACCATAGTTAGTGATTGGAGTTATGTGCACCAACTTAGCGTTCTCGAACGGGGGCCCCCGCCCGCATGGTATGAATCATCCATGATTTCCCACTGGGATCCTCCAGCTCCACCACTGCCTGCGCGTTCCGAGACCCCAGCCATGGCCTGCGAAGATCGCCTGGATGACCTTCGCGATCAGTCCATCTTGGCGCCCATGGAGATGGCGGTGCCGGGCCTGGGGGAACAACTTGGAGAAACTGGGAAAGAGATGGAAAAATGATGGAACACGGAACATGCATATTATACCATATTTATACCATAGTAGTAACTGGAGTACATCCCCGAGCATAAGTTGTATGACAGCTTGCAAGTGAGGCATTGAGTCAATTCAGTTGCCAACCACCGAGCCCGAATTTAGATATCATAATACAAGTAGGGCCTACTAAGTACGGGAGTCTAGTGAGATTCTAGGAGAATGTGAGATGTATCATAATGCCATATGGCTATGGATCAATACCTATACATACCATTTTTAGGGGGATGAACATCCATTTACCAGCTATTTTGATGTTCACCAGGGGGATAGGGCTTTGACCCATCCCCATATCATAGGGAGCTTTATAAGTGCGAGGATTGCATCCTCCCATATTGTCTTTGTTCACATGTTTCCACTGTGCCAAGAGGACTGTTGGCTGCAGAAATCAGTTGGCTGTTGTGCATGCGCCTGAAAAACGCTGAAGACCAACACCCATTTTTTTGTTGGAGAAATTGGCGGAATCCCAAACTTTGCATAGGTGTCGTATATGGCATGCCCATACTACCCCCCAAATTCATTGTAACGGGGAAAATTGTGATAGACCCTTGCATTTTGGGAATGCTCGACGTTCACATCCATACATTGGAACATTGGATGCTGACGTGACACAGGGGTATCGACTTACCCATCTGATCAACCCGTGGTGACCCCGTGACCCCAACTCCACACATATTTGGGGCGACAGTTGCTGAGCAATCAGTTGCTGAGGTGCAGGCATTGACGGCATACTGAGTGTGATGATTATATCAATATTTGTTCGCCTGGTCGGCGTTCAGGCGCAGACCCAGTCGCGCTGTCAAAAATGCGCGGATGATTGGGATGTTGACCCAGCTGGACCATCCAGCACTGGAGAGTGAACATGGAAAATCATGGAACATCAATGGGCCTTTGGATACTGATTTGCTGCAAGCTTGTGAATACTGGCCAGCATTTCTTTCAGAGACATCAAAAAAAAACTTTCTGACAACGTCAATTTCAAAATATATAAGTCAAAATCCATGTGTTTTTGTGTTCCATATTTTTCTGTATCCAATCCCAAAAAAATGTGTCTGTATCAGCCAACCTGAACAGCATCTTTGTTGCACCGAAACCGGTCGAAAGCCAAGGCTCAAAGTCCAGTGCAGGCTGGTAGTGCCTCATGGTGGACGAGAAACTGACAACATGGTGGTGGGGTACTAAGCCATACTAAGCCATCAGATGTCAGACAATCCAAAGGGTCCAAAGACTGTCCAGCTACTGCGAGGTTACCACAGAAATTCATGAAACAAAGGATTCGGGGGAAATCATATGAAATCATGCCCAAAGGAGCCGAGAAAAAAGACAAACCTTGTTGACTGTTCAATGTAGGAACTTATCAATTTATTGTAGATTATGATAACCCATGGTAAGGAAACCATTTTCAACGAACTAGTCTGAAATGGCACCACATTTTTCATCTTGGTGAATGTAAGGTGAAACTATTCCAAGTTCGTGAATTATTCTAAATCCAGATGATACATCATAAGACCATAATATATATATATCGTATAATATACATATATATATATCTATAAATGGAATATGCTATATATTTGTACCTGGAGATATGCCAAGAATGGTCTGAAACTCTTTGGGTGGATCCCGAAACTTCAGTTTACAAAGGCCTCCGGGAATTTGTTAGCTATGGAAGCGCCCATGTAAAATCATTGAACAAAGTTGATCAGTTTAAATAGGTATTAAATAGGTAGATGATCAGTTGACCTAATCTATTTATTACCTATTTAAAATGGTGCTTTTCCAGTTCGCGACATGTAAAAAATATCCCAAAGGGTAAGTGGTGCTGTGATCATCTCAATATCCACGGCTGCAGTTTGATTGGATGACTGGATGGCCCACAAAAAGGGGTGCAGGATGGTTGTCTCCAAGTTGGTTTATCTGATTTTACCCTCTGGTAAACTAACATAGCTATTGAAAATGGCCATTTATAGTGAGTTTTCCCATTAAAAATGGTGATTTTCCATAGCTATGTTAAATTACCAGAGGGTACCTGCTTGGTTGATGCTGACTCAATTTTTTTTCCTGCATCCTATACTGTATATACTCAGCAGATCTCAGCAGATTCACCCAAAAAATCCTTCCGTGAAACTCACGATCCATAAGCTCAGAACCGAATCTTGGCTATAGACGCCTAGGTGCCTAGGTGGTAATTATATGCAAAAAAAAACTTAGGCATGCTTAGGCCATCTTGGGCCTTAGACTACACTTTTTCGGCTTGCGCAAAATCTCTAGAACCAAGGACACCATTGGTTCTTGATCACTTTCCCCACTAAGCCCAAAAGGTGAGATAATGAGATACTAGTGATCATATATATATATATATATGTATATATATATTTATCATATACACACATGTAATTATATATATATGATATTACATATTTATGATATAAGTCCCAATGTTATTCCCATAAAGCTTGAACATATCGTCCCATATCTGCCACACAGAACCACTGGAGGATGTTCGGCAAAACAAGGGCTGGAAGATGGTCAAGAGCAAGGCGGATGTGAAGACATGGAGGATGTGTTGAGAGGATCATGGATGATCTGTTGATATTTGAAGTACAACCGCCTTGTGTTTCGCGAACAGGCCTGACGCCCAGCAGCTCAAAGTGCTTAAAAACAACCAACCCCTTTCGTTGTTTAGTTGATGTGTTTGTTCAAATATGGATCCAGAGGTTGATTCCAGTTGAGAGCGATGTCGGCCCCAAAATTTGGAAACTGCAGTTGCCCTGCAGCAGCTGTGGCGAAGAAACTTCAAAACTCTTCCAAGCGAACGGTTTTGGTGTCAACTGGTCAAATTTCCAAGATTTTATAAGCATGTCTTTCCATCTTTTTGCCAAAGGAAGTCAGGATAGTTTTGACCCTGGATTTGTACATACTCAGAAAGCCTGAGATGGCTACTGAAAGTGAGACCTCCTCAAATGTCATCGCAACAATCAACCTCTACAGATTCCTACTTTCGTTCCCACTGCGTGGCCGTTTCTGCCCAGCTCGTTACGGGGGGCCACGGGACATCCACGCGATTCCCGCGACGTTTTGTGCGGCGCCGGGCAAGGGCAGCCGGGGCGTATCACGGGCAGTTCACCATGGCGGAACAGCTCGCGCGCATTTTCGGAGCCTTGAAGGGTGTAATCATGGGAGATTCAGGGGGTGATGGCTACAGTACCCCTAAATACCCCTAAGATCATCTAAAATCCCCATGGAAAACATGGATGTTTAGATGGGTACAGATGGGTACCCCTAAAATCCCCGAAGGGGTTTAAAACATTGATGTTCCCCAAGAAAGGACCATTTTATGATCAACATTGGTTTTGATGTTTTGGGTACCCATGTACCTCCCATTTTTGGGAAGCTGTCAAACAGCCATTTTTTTTTTTTAAACCACGAGTATTGTTGAACGAGCTGCGAACCGACCGAGAAAGTTGCGACCGAGGAACGGAGGAAGATCGAGTGAATTGTCCCTTCTACTTCAAGATCGGTGCGTGCCGCAATGGCCACTGGGGATGAGTTTGGCTGGAGAGTTCATGGTCATGGTTGGTGGTGGCCTATTTAAGCCATCATTTCAAGGTATGTTGTCCCCATAGAAAAAGCGCTAGTTTTCCATATGTTTCCTGCTGATATTTACATGTTTCTTGGCCAAGACTAGCATTTTGGGCGAATCAACCGACTTCACAACAATCGAGTCATTGATTTTTGGATAAGGAGAGAAACCATTCAGGTTGGGGAACAACATTCAACATTTCCCTGGTCAATATGCTCCGGTTTTCTTCAATGTGTCAAACCCTATAAGGTCTCTATACGTATGTATACGTAGTTAAAACATATTAATTATAACATGAGCTATGGTCAATACTCATGGTTAATAACCATTAATAGGGGCTAGTCATCCAATGGTTCATAGGGATTTATAACAACCATTATTTTTGGATCCTTATTATGGATGGGATGACCATCAACCATATAGTGAGTATTGACCATGGCTCATATCATTGGGGAGTTCTGGTCCCTGGACTTGAATCCCATGCCATGGGTTCTCTTACCTCATTTTCGGATATGGGTTTGTCATGGTTTGTCTGGAAATAGGCTAGCCCTAAACCCATGTATGAATCAATTTTTTCCCTATTAAATGGCCTATGCACCATTTTCATCCATTTTCAGGGTTTCCTAAAATATTGGTACCCCAAACCATTGGTTTTCCCAATGATAATAAGCAATTTTGGATGATTTTCGAGATCCCCCACGACTTAGGAAACCTCCATGTGTGGCGCATCCCCATGTTGATCCATTCCTCTTAGGCGATCAGTGCAATCGCTTGCACAACCGTCCGACGATGAGTCAGACTTTGCTGCTGTCGCACATGTGCTTTGGCCATGCAAGGACTCCTAAGTTGCTTAGTTCTGTCGGTTTGCCCATAGCAGGGACTGATCTCATCTACACACGGGCTTGGGATGCATCTGTCGTGGTTTCACCATCAGAATTTTCTCCAACCATGTGGGCTTGTTGCTTGCAATGTGTCTCAGAAACCAAGCCAAAGGGGATCCCGAAAACGCCTAGGGTTTCAGTTTGAGTCCAATGCCTGCTTTTACATAATGTCGTGCATTAGATATTCTTTATCTCTCAAATCTTGACCCACTCAGAACATGGAGACACTTTATCTTATCTCATCATGATTTAGTGGCCTCTTGAGACAGCTAAACTTTGCCCAATGTGAAAAATCTTCAGTGTTCATGTGATCTGGTGATTTTCATGATGATGTTGATGACAATGATGATGCTGGTGGTTGTGGTGATTATGTTTGCATACGGTACCAAGGGCTTTGTTTCTTTTTGTTTCGAAGTCTTGCTAGTGAACATCTCAAACATCTCAGTACAGATAGTACGGCTCTTTGTAGCTTTGGATGGTATATAATTCCTGCACAGCTGTTTGATTCAACAACTGGAGTTTGTGCTTCACCCAACGGGCCTGTGCTGCCGGGCATCCCAAGTCTTACTGATTGCTGGTTCCATGCTTCTGGTCCTCAACGTCCGAAGTATTGCACATTATTGGTGTCAAGTTTTATCCCAAGTTGGGAATGTTGCTTTATTCCAATGTCTTTTGAAATTCTGCGCGTTATATGGTCTTCTGACCCACAAAAGAATAGGGTGTTTGTCACAAAGAAGTAGTCCCACTTCCTTTAAATGCAGATTTCCTAAAATGGGGGTACCCCCAAATCATCCATTTGTTCATAGGATTTTTCATGAAATCAACCATCCAGCGATTTTTAGGGGTAGCCCCCGATGACAAAACGGGTTTTCAAGGAGGGTTACCTCCTTGGCGCGGTAGGTATCCCAATACTCCTGAATCCCTGGCACTGGCCAACGACGAGCCTTGGGATGATGATATGTATGACCGTGCACAGGCGCGCCGCGCGAAGCGTCGAAGCGTGGTGGGGCTGGGGATTGGGAAGTCTCCTTCGATGATTGCACCAAGAACTAGGGATATAGCAAGATATAGCAAGACATGGCTGATATCATATTTCAATGGATTGGTTCAAGGGAAAATCTACAGGAAACCATAGATTTTCCCAGTTATTTTTTGGGGTTTTCCGGTTAAAATTTTCCCTTAAACCAATCCATTGAATATTTATTTGGACTTTTCCTGGAGAGTACTTGAAGCTTTTGCCATCTTGATGAGATAAATTCACATTGGATGTGGCCACTCAGCTGACACACACTGACACCGACAGAGCGATCTTGAAAATAGGGCCTTGAATTGGCAGATTCATGGAGTGATTACTTCAAGATATATCCACTACATGTGTGTAAAAATATATATATGTAATATATATATATATATGTAACATATATATGTATATGTAATATATATATATATATAAATATGATATAACGATGAGATATGTAATGTGCACAAATCATTGCATAGCACTTACTAGGGTTCATACCGGTGGTTATTTTGACGTAGACCATGATCATCTATATTGTATATATATATATATACATAATATATATCTATATCTATATATATTTATTTATTCTACAGAGACCTACACAGTTTTCCTTTCATTTAGTATACATTAATACACACCTTGGCTCCCCATCTCGTCCTTTTTGTTTTGAGGCACACTTGGAGGCGTTCTACGTGGAGGTTTTCTTGGAGTTGGCCAACTATGGTGAGATTGAGGAGTGGACGGACCTCATACCCTGGTTTGGTAAGGGCCACAGAATCAGTACATCCCCTATTGGTGCCCCTGGCTTTTTCTAGGTGTATATACTAGATGGGACATTGATGAACTGGTTGGTGGTTTCAAACATGAATTTTATTTTCCATTTCATATATGGGATGTCATCCTTCCCATTGACGAACTCATATTTTTCAGAGGGGTAGGTATACCACTAACCAGTGTTCTTTTTTGTCCTTTTGGCTACGTGGACTCAGTTTTTGTAAAGAACGACCTCAGTAGCATGCAGTTCAAGCCGTCATCCCAGCGCCTTGGGAGCTTCCATACTGGTAGATTCTTCTACAGGCTGTACACATTTCAACATATTCACAATGTGTGAACTTTGATCTGAACTGCCCCCATATTCGCAAGTTTAGGTCTATGATGGTCTATGAATCTTACATCCCAAACCTGGTTTAATGCCAATTTTGAAAGGTCATTTCACCGCATTTTTTAGCGGAGCTTTCCTTGAGATTGTTCAGAGGTGTTCACCCGGATACATCCCGCCTCACGACAACCTCGCCATAACTGGTGGTGAGTAAGGGAAAGCGCTCGGAAGTTGGATCGTGTCAACGTTGAAATTTTGGGAATGATGAAAACATCTTGCCCAGATTGGAATGTTATCGTATGTTATCTAGACATATAGCAAAATGATACGATAAGCACTAAAGTCTATTTTGCAATCCCTGCTTTCTGCAATCTCATTGTTCCAATTTGCCCAGATGCACAGAGAATGGATTGCAAAATCAGCAACTACTGGCTCAAGGTGGTTTCACTTGGCTCAGTCAGGGTTTCATCCCCCAAGAGTCGGAAAGATCGAAACCAAATCTGGTTGGTGGTTTGGAACATGTTTTTTTCCCCATATATTGGGAATAGTAAGCCCAACTGACTCATATTTTTCAGAGGGGTGGCGAAAAACCACCAACCAGAAATCGACTTTCGTATTTTTCCTAGGTCTGTTTAGGCGGCTGCCAGCTGGTTTTTTTCCCAGGAATTCCACGTATTTTTTCATGGGACAGGCAGTTTGGCTGTTGAGCTGTCACAGGACTTGGTCGTGGTGGATAATCTTTGTGACCATATGATTGGCAATGTCTACGTTGCTTGGCTGATTTGGCTGGGGATGGTCACCGACCATCACTGTGAGACTGGCTTAAAGGCCACTGAGCTTTAAATACCCTTTGGCTATTTAACATAGCCATGGGAAATCACCATTTTTAATAGGTAAACCCAGGTAAACCATCTCTATAAATGGGACATTTTCCATGGCTATGTTAAATAACCAGAGGGTAATATTTAAATCAAGGTTTCCTAAGTCATGGAAGTAGCCCTAAATCATCCATTTTTGCCAGGGATTTTCCATGAAATTAACCATCCATTTTTGGGTACCCCCATTTATGGAAACCTCCAAATAGGAGTCATCCTTGCTTTGGTAGGTTACTCTACTGGGATTTGTTCTTCCCATGGAAGAATCACAAATCAGACCTGTTAAACAGTTTGTTGTCTTTCCTTTTAAAGAAGGGTATGTAAGCTTGTAGCGGGATTCTTCATCGGCCTTGAGATGTCCTAAAGTTTGGGCAAAGTGTTCTTTCGCCGCAGCCGGAGAGTGTCTCTGGCCGCTGTAGGCCGCTGTAGACTTTGGATGGAGACGCAGAATCACTTGTGAAAATCGATTCTTCTATACCCTCTGGTAATTTAACATAGCTATGGAAAATGGCCATTTATAGTGAATTTTCCCATCAAAAATGGGATTTCCCATAGTTACGTTAGTTTACCAGAGGGTAGTCCTCCATGCAATCTGCCTCCACATACTGGAGTAAAGTGTTGGGTGCCAGAAAAGCCTCGTCAATAGACAGTTGGCTAATCCACAGTACATCAAAGCTGGTGCCTCAGTGAAGATCATGGGTTATACCTACCAACTAAGCATATTCAAATTGGGACGATGATGAGAAAGCATTGGAATTGGGGGTAAATGAACCCTGCATGTTCATTTTCAGCCAACACAACTGGTGGCTGGTTTCAACAGTGGGGCTGGGGCCCGCCCCCACCCTGGCACCGCCGGGCCGGGCGCCATGTCGTTTGCCGTGGCGGAAGCTGCGCACAACGTGTCGTCCTTTCTGGTGCCGCATCAAAGCTCCGAAGATTTGATGCAACAGGCTGGGTGTCAACGGTGTCAACCCCTTCCCCCTCTAGGAATCCCCTAACAAGTTGTAGAAGAGGTTGATTTCATCACTGTCTATTTTTTCTGCAAGTTGCTGTAGTATATCGGAAAAATACCCCCTGAAGGTCAAAAAATAGGGGGGTCTTTGATGGTACTTGTATTTGACATGAACGGAAAGGGGTTAATAAACCAATCAACCAACCTCAAATTTTGCTCAATTCCTGAACCGTTGGTCATCGGGGGTACCATGTCACTAGCAGATGACATCACTATTGGGGGGTACCCTCCGACTTAGTCAACCAAATGCAGGGTTGACACTATGAGGCAAACTGTAAACCCCAATTATCCGGCGAAATTTGAGCAGATGTATATAATATATTATATATTATATACCCGATATATCCCGATATCTTATGACCATATTAATCGGTGAAAGCATGATTAACTGAATCACAAGGATTCAACTTGAGTCTTTTCTGGAAAAAAAACATATCGCGACCCTCGCCTCCCCCAGGGCGTGCCTGCCCGGGAAGCACGACGGAGAAGTTTCTTCCGCACTTGGTTGATGGAGAGGCTGTCCACATTTCTAGAGCTGATCTTGACTCTTGGGCTCCAGGTGTCGAAGATCCGCCAGGTTTCCCCAAGAGTTAGTTATGTGCGTCAACTTAACTATCACACATCAACTACATATGCCATTCAATCCCATTAAATCCCATTTTTTCAAATATGTTTTTTTTTCATCTTTTTGGTCGAAACATGTTAAAAACCACCATTTTTCCTATGGTTTTTCTCGGGGTTCCTGTCCTGCCGAGGATTTGGTCGGTGTTGATCCCTGTGTTGGTGGCACTGCTCCTGGGCCTGACGCTCTTCGTGAGTGGCGTCTGCGATGCCATCGGCGGCAATGAGGCCACGGTGGTCATCACGGATTTTCTCTTCAGTCACCTGACGGACAAATGTGATCAGCCCGTGGGGACCTTGGCCACTTGGATTAGTGAAAAATGGTGTTTTTTTTTGGGGGGGGTTGATTTATTGAAAATGGTGATGAATCATATCACTATATGGTTGATAATAGTCATAGTGATTGATGATGATGATCAGTGATAGTTGGTGGTGACTGGAACCATGGATTTTTATATGACTTTCCATTCAGTTGGGAATGTCGTAACCCCAACTGACGAACTCCTGGATCAGTGAAGTGTATCCATGGTTGGCGGTGACTGGAACATGGCTGGATTATGACTTTCCATTCGGGAATGTCGTAACCCCAACTGACGAAGTCCATGATTTTTCAGAGGGGTTGGTTGCAACCACCAATCAGATATAGATCAATATAGGTTTTTGTTTGATCCCAAGCACCTTGCGTTAAGATATGTTAAGAACCGTCAAGGTGGGCTAAGTTAAGATATGTCAAGATACATGTTGATACCCCAACTTTTTTGCCATGCGGAATGCGGAATCGCACCAGAGTGTTTTTGGAGTTTTTCGGTTGACATGAATTGACATGAATTAACATGAATTGACCATGTGGTGAGCTCAATCCACCAGAAACTGGCAAGTTCTGTATAGAAGATTCGTGCTTTCTGCTGGGGGACTGGGAGCTCCGTTTAACGGTGCTCCTTCTATCCAAGGTGATCATCTTCTGGATCTCTGTCTTTTCAAAGCTCATTTTCATTGTCTTGTGGGATCGTTTCAACGAGATTCCCGAATGCGATTGCTGCAGCAGCAGATGTTGCCGCTGCTGTCGCCGCTGCTTCTACTATTGTTTCTTAGATTCACTTTGGATCTTTTTCCCTATGGACTATCCATGACTAGTCACTAGAAATGAGAAAATTCCTAGATGATAATTTCTCCCCAAGTGACTATACAGGGTGGCCCCGCAGTATTCCCCAGTAACTATAATATAATATAAGTAATATCTTCTATAAAGCCCAGTTAACCAAGTTATGTGCGCCAACTTGGCTATCGTAAATGGGGGCACCACCTTGTACACATAGCCTACATAGTCCAGATGGGTGCTTGAAAAACCAAATCCCACAAGCATTTACGGGAAACCTCTATGGTTTGTGGGGGTGCAAAGCATGGTTTCTGTAGAAAATCCCTCCAACCATCCATCAACCCCAATGACCAACCTATGTTCTGAGAAAGCGAGCTGACAGGGTTTCTGCAACCCATTTGGACCGGCGGATGATGGCCAGAAGGGGGGGGAAGATCGGAAAGTTGACATCTTATGATATCTTTATCTAGCCATTTCTCCCCCCAAAAAAATCATGGGCTGTTTTTTGGAGCAACATAGGACATGATTTTTGGACGTTGGGCAGCCAAGGTCTCACCACTCCCATGGTCTTGTTCGAGTTCCTGTGGCCTGCGACCACCTTTGTCCTGTTGTTCCTAGCACATGACTGCACTTGGCAGGTCAAGGCTAGTGCTTGGGTAGTGCTGTCGCCCTTCATTTTGGAGGCGTGTGGTGAATGGCTGGGTTGATCTTGAACACACATGTTTTGATGGCGCCAGCGATTTTGAATGGCATTTCTAGGCAATGATGACAATATAACTGTACCTATGGCATTATATACCTGCTCCCCTGCCTGGAGCACAATTGTTGACCATTATGTTAAAAGTTAACTTTTTGATGTTTTGCTGAAGATTCACGACCCTGATTGGAAATTTACGGCCAAGTGAAGAGTTGAACTGAACTTTACGTCCACATACGGCTTTTCACGTCCATAGCTAATAGTTCAAAATAGATACCAAAATAGCTCCAAAACTTGTATTTTGGTGGCTTTTGTTGGGTTTCTAAAAACCATGTATATTCTTTAATTCTTTCATCTTCCCATATAAATCTTCCCACTCACCCGCACCCACTCTTTCTCAGCTCCCGTGCGGAAATCCACTAGCTTCTAGCCCAGCATATCTGTATGTGAGCGAGATAACGCTGAAACACACGTAAAGACACTAACCTGGGAGATACGCAGCGCGACAGCGCCGCGCATCTCCCAATGAAATCCTCATCCATTTGGCATGCATAAACTGCCGGGTTTATGCAGTGGGAGGACACCCGGGCCTGCCATTTTAGCAGAAAACTGGTTTCATGAACCCAATGGAGTTTGGGTATCAAACTAAAAAAGTTTTGGCCCAAAGACAAAGCCACACGGGCTTGGTAGATATAGCTACGAACAAACACGAGCAATTCACCACTCAGCTTCATAGCCACACTCCTTTCTATCAAAACGTCCTCTCTGTAAATCCCACGCATGAAGGCGTTGAGCATGGCCGTCGCATATGCCTCAAAGATACACCCAATTATTTACCCAGGGCTTATATAAACAGGGAAAACACATATATGGGAAAACAGCACATGACACAAACCTTTTTGAACACAAAGTGAAGTTATATATAACTCGTTTCAAAACTCTTTCCAAAAGACATCACAATTGATCACACATGTAAATGCAGGTGTGGTGCAAAATTCCGTAGGCGTGGGTCAGGACGAATTTTGTCAGCATGTGTTTCACAATACTCTTGTAAAAAGAGCATCCAGTTAGACGTCACCCCTGCCTTTGACCATGTTCCAATTGGGTCTGTTGTGGAATTGAAAGTGTGAACATCGATCTTGCGAAGGTAAGGATCCAGCTTTTGCCGTTTGCAAAACTGTTTGTATTCCCTCCCCAAGACTGCAATTCTCTGTTCTATCGTGCTTTCTTCCAAAAGTTCACTTAGCAACATGACTCCGGCGGCAACCCATGTCTTTCCTACTCCCAAGTGTATGCAGTGCCACGGGTCTATACAATGGAACCTTGTTTTGCCATTGCAACTGCCATCCACAAACAGTTCTCGGGTCATAGGGCTTTCGTGGTCCCAAGGTTCGGGTAGTTCATGTTTCAAGGCATCTTCCATTGCAGCTTCTCCAGTTTCCCTTAGATATACGGTGGTTGGAAAATGTTGGAAACCACATGAACTCAAATCGTTAATCAACCAAAAAAAATGGGGGTGTACAAACAAAAACTTTCAACCAGGAAAATATGTTCATTACAACCGTTCCTCAATACCCAGTGACACGTTCTCCCAATCTACTCCGTGGCCAGCCATACAAAGGTGACAAAGCCCAGCTCCAATCTTGTTGGGATCCCCTGCCCCCTTTGGTGCACGCCTGTAAGATCTTTGGAGATTAGCGCTGGATACCTTGTACTTGTTGATTCATAACAACAAAAACATGTGTCACTTTCCCATAAATGAATTTCTCAATATACTGCAAAATGTTTAATGTTGAGGTTGGAACCCCCAAGCCCCAAAACAATCTTTCAATAAAAAAGGTTTGATACACCAGGGGGCTAAGTAACTCCAGTCGCCTTTGTTGGCCAAAACAATGGGATAAATTCTTCCAATATTGCCACCACAATCGATCCCATCCCTTTGGCAGACCGCAAGGTCTGCCACAATAATCTCGAACATGGCGTTCCATATTCTCCGATCGTCGTTGTAGAGGTCCTTGGCAGGGCCGGTGTATATATAAAAGAAAATGAGGCCTAAGTTCAAACAAAAAAACACCTGAACCGAAATGGACATATAAAGTTGCACAATTTTAACACATTCATGCATGAATTTGTAACCAGTCAGTCCTTGGGGCATACCAAGATTAACATACGAGTTTGAAAGCCAGTGCGAAGGAAGTTGATGGGGATGTTCTTTCCCTCTGCCCCATGCTTCTTCTCCAAATCTGAAGCTCGTTTGGAACAGCCACTCCCTATGACACCCTGGAAGCTAACTACCAGCAATCCAGACTTGCGGTAATGTATCCCTTCGTCTCCATGTAAAAAAAGCGGTATGCATTTTTCTAGGGGCTTTTGTGCAGACCACAACTGGTGCTCCGGGAAAAGGGTCCTGTATACACCCCAAAAATGCAGCAGTTTTTCCTTGGACTCCTCCAGCTTGCCACCTCCCAGAAGAAGTGATAAGTCGTTGTTCCTGGCCATTGCCCGGATGAAATTGCTTGGTTTCAGCCATGTCAGTCCTGTCAAAGGAGGCGTTTGTTCAGTCGTGAGCTCCACAGGATAATAGAAGTTGTGCAAGCGAAAGATTGCACTCACTGTTTCTTCCTTATCTCACGGAAAAATACTTTGTAAAAAAAAAAGCAGCATGGTCAAGAAATATATAGCTATGTCACGAGTATCCCAAACCATGACCAAATACAATATATGTTTTGAGGGAAACAAATTAACCTTATATAACCAAAATGCTGGGGGATATGTTTGATCATTAATCGCATCAAAAGTTGAGATCCTTTCTGAAGGCCAACCACCAAAGGTTATATGGAAATAATCAGAACCACAAGTTAGATATGATTCAAATATTTATTTTTTGGAATAAGTTTGAGAAGGGTCTGATTTCTTTGGGTCTGCCCTTGCAAGTGCCGAGAGAACCGGGCAAGTCTGTAGTTGATGACTCGCCGCGACATCCATCATCTCCGCAGCTGCGAAAGAAATGATGTCGGTGCATGCTTCCTAAGATGGAAACACACATGCATGTCAACAACCATGCCGAAGATGAGAGATATACATGCATATATCACAGTATGGGCATTCTCATGTAAAATCAAACCAACAATTATGTATATATGAATGATCGTTGTGGGAATGCAGCCTGAATGAGGTGAAAACTATACAACTTAAGAATGAACATATACGACCCGCAATCTACTTTTTATTTCAATGCAATTTGGATTCAAACATCCATGCATAACCCATGACATCACTCTTGGGGATCAGACAGAGCTTCAAGCCAAGCTGCGCCACGGCTATACTTCCATACCTGGTGCCTTGCTTTATGGGATGCACCTGGCAATCACGGGGCCGGATGGAAACCCAGGGAAATTGAAAAGGGTTAACATGTGAGGTCATCATTCTGGTCATAAATCATGATGGAAACAATTTGTTGGGAGTGTGGAGGCAAACAACCACATCATGTGCAGACCGCGCTGGATTCCCTTTTGGCACATTTTTTGTCGCTGAACCTCTTAGCACATATCATCGTAGGTGATTCCGTATGGAAATGAAGCAGTGCACATGGTAGTCCACGGCGCTGGTTGTATGAGATAGCTCTTTGATTCCCCCGAGCTTTCATCATAAACAGGGATTATGACATGTGGTTCTCCACATGGCTCAGATTGACAGGGTTGTCCCCCAAAAGGCATCCAGGTTTTCGACCAAGCAATCAAAAAAATTATAGAATATATATAGAAGTTGTTTATAACATAAAAATTGATTATTTTATATACTGCACGGATTCAACCCAAAAAAATCATCCAATCACCGGTCAAATCCCATTGGATGCTCAGGCCGTCTTTCGGCGCTTTTCACGTTTGGAAGGTGCAGCTTCTGGGGCTGCAGAGGGAACTGGGCTCTGCTGGCCACGCGGGATCTTTGCCTTCTTAGAAGGCTTACCCTTAGCAGCCTTCCCCCCCTTAGGTTTCTTACCACCATCTCCTGAGTTGTGCTTGCCCTTGTTCTTCTTCGGCTTGCCGCCCTTGACATCCTCCAGCTTCAGATCTTTGGCAAGTTGCCTGCCAAGAATGTGTTTTTCTCAAGGTTGGTTGGATTTTACAGGATTTATTTTTGAGAGAGTAGAGATGAATCTTTTGACCATCCATGAGTTGCATGTGAAAAGGTCAAAAGGTCTCACTGTTTTTCTCTTCCTAGCCTGTAGCGGGCTTCCAATGGAATGCTGGCTGTGCACCTTAGAAGCTGCATGCGGGGAATAGGTGAATGTATAACTATATACATTTAAAAAACATATATGTGAATATTTCACCTTGACATTCACCAGAAAGTTTTCTAATGATCAAACATCAATATTCAATCCAGTTGCAGGCCCCTCACCACATTCTTCTGATCTCGAATTTCCTCCAACAGCCTTGGTGGATAGTTGGGTGGACCCAAAGCTATTAACAATAAAACCCCTACAGTAAACCCAATTACGGATATTTATATAGTTCACAACCAGATCAGGTTTTTTTTCTAATCCAGCAAGTCCACATTGTTCCCACCTATTTTGGTGGTCGTTTCAAAGACCAGTAAACTACATATACCAAATAAGGACCTGCCATGTCGGACCGGATGGTCTCCCCACCATCCCGAACGTTTCTGCATCCAGGACTTCCTCAGACAGCGGCCACATTGAGAGGACAGGATTGATATATTTTACACTGGCTTGTGGGAAGTGCTATTTAAACCAGAAAAATTATATATATTCAGAAAATTGCAGACATATAAGATGTTGTTTGGTTCCTATTTGCATGCATCATTCATGAATGATCTCAAAACATACATAGACTTAATTCAAGACTCCTTTGTGACGCTGGATGAGAGCCCCTTCGACAAAAGCTGGAGATATGGTCTCCGCGCTAGCATAAATCACAATGAGCTTCTCCCACTTGTCATGTCGGTCATAATGGTATCCAAATT